CTTTGATCCACGTCTCCACGTCGTTCCCTCCGACACAGTTCCTGACAGAAGACCTGACCGACAACAACAACAAAAAATGGTTTAGTTGCGTGTTTCCCCTCCGTTGTGTTTCCGCGTTTTGTTCAGTGTTTTGTTTTCTGGTTTTCCCCCATGGATCCCTTAGGACGCCTTCCTTCATCCTGAATACCTCCTCCTCCTGCTGGAGCAGGGGGAGAGATCTCTCGAGGGCCATACCGGACTGTTCCTGGATATCGCTCATCACACCAGCTACCCAGATGACGCACTCTGCGCATTTTACGATGCCAGCCTAAACACCACGTGCAGAGCGCTGTTGTCCAAAGATGGTCCTCGGGAGAATTTTGACGCCTTTGTGGAGTGGATACTGGCGAGAAACAGATCTCCATTCATCATCTGCACCGAGGATGATCTCGCCAGTTCTACTCTGGACCCAGAGCCCAGCCCACCATTACCCTGCTGCGTGAAGCCAAAGCCTGAGCCCACCGCAGACGGAGAGCCAAAGCCCGCCGTGACCGACGAGCCATTGCTGAAAAGAGCGACAGAGCTGAGGATTGCCAGAGCCTCACGTGATGTCTGACCAGGTGTGAGTGCCAGCAACGAAGAACGCCACGGAGAATTCCACAGTGGAGCACGAGAGCACGGAAGAAAGCCCCGCCCACTGCACCACCGCTGGGGGTGGCAGATATATATGCGGACATGCCCATTCTCCTCCCACCTTTCTCGAACTTTCCAGTCTGCCCTGAACTGTCTGCCAGCCCTGTCGTTCCCCTGTCTGACGCGCTCCCAGTGCTGGGAGTCGCGATTTGGTGTGTGTGGGCAGTGCACACCAACCCAGAGAGCCCGGAGGCTCACAAATGACCACCCACCCCCCACTCCTGCCTCCTCCACCACTGTCGTCTGGTAGCCCCTTTGCTCACCCTCAGCCCACCATCTGTGCGGTGCGAGCACCGCGGGTCTGCCAGTCTCTATTGTCGGCATGGCTGGAGAATCCCTTGCTTCCGCCTCCAGCCTCTGAGTCCCAGACTCCGCCTCAGCCCGTCGACCCAGCGGCTCCACCATTGCTCCTAGCTCCCTCCTCTCCATTGTGGCCCGTCAGTCCACCAGCTCCGCCGGGCTCCCTTGTCCCTCCGGCTCCGCCTTGGTCAGTTGTCGACCATCCGCTGCCTCGGCACCCCACTCCTCCGGCTTTGCCTCGTCCCTCTGTCCTTCTGGCTCTGTCAGGCTCCTCCTTCCCTTCGGCTCCTCCTCGGTCCTATGTCGCTCCGGCTCCACCGCGGCCTTCTGGATCCCCGCCTCCGTCTCGTTCGCCTGAGCCATCTGCTCCGCCTTGGCCCTCCGGATCCTCCCCGTCACCCTGGCTCATTGGCTCTCCGTCTCCGCCTCGGCCTCCTCCACCATGGCTACTCGCTCCATTGGCTCCACCGTGGGTCGCCTTCATGGCTGTGGCCTGGGTCCCGCCTGGCTGTGCCTGCTCCAAGTCCCTCCTGTCTCCTCCCTTCATCTGGTCCGCCCTGGACTCTGTTTGCCGTCCTCCTCCCAGGTGTCCCGAATCTCCTCCTGAGTTCCCCTCCGTCCCTCCCTTTGTTGTTCCTGCGGCGCGAGGATGCGCTGTCCGGGAGGGGGGCGAACTGTCATGCCCCTGGACTGTCTGTGTGTGTTTTCCTCCCCATCGCTTTATGTATCCCCCAATTGTAAGTCGCTTTGGATAAAAGCGTCTGCTAAATGACTAAATGTAAATGTAAATGTAAAATGTGATCCCTGTGACCTAGGTTCTCCCTCGTGATGATTGTGTTCATTGATTTCAGGTGTCTTGTCATTAGTCCCTCATTATCCTGTGTATTTAAGCCCCAGTCTGTTCAGTCTGTGTTTGTCAGATTTAATTGTCGTGTTCGTGTGTCACCAGCCATTTGTAAAGTGGATTATCCCTTGTGTTTGGAGTTATTAAAGACTGTTGCTTTGATCCACGTATCCGCGTCATTTCCTCCGACACAGTTCCTGACAGTATATGTAATAATAAAATATTTATCATAATGTACTTTAAATATCATTAAAAAATAATGTCAAAAAGTAAATCAGTACTATTGTTGCTCCCTTCATGGCTGTGGCCTGGGTCCCGCCTGGCTGTGCCTGCTCCAAGTCCCTCCTGTCTCCTCCCTTCATCTGGTCCGCCCTGGACTCTGTTTGCCGTCCTCCTCCCAGGTGTCCCGAATCTCCTCCTGAGTTCCCCTCCGTCCCTCCCTTTGTTGTTCCTGCGGCGCGAGGATGCGCTGTCCGGGAGGGGGGCGAACTGTCATGCCCCTGGACTGTCTGTGTGTGTTTTCCTCCCCATCGCTTTATGTATCCCCCAATTGTAAGTCGCTTTGGATAAAAGCGTCTGCTAAATGACTAAATGTAAATGTAAATGTAAAATGTGATCCCTGTGACCTAGGTTCTCCCTCGTGATGATTGTGTTCATTGATTTCAGGTGTCTTGTCATTAGTCCCTCATTATCCTGTGTATTTAAGCCCCAGTCTGTTCAGTCTGTGTTTGTCAGATTTAATTGTCGTGTTCGTGTGTCACCAGCCATTTGTAAAGTGGATTATCCCTTGTGTTTGGAGTTATTAAAGACTGTTGCTTTGATCCACGTATCCGCGTCATTTCCTCCGACACAGTTCCTGACAGTATATGTAATAATAAAATATTTATCATAATGTACTTTAAATATCATTAAAAAATAATGTCAAAAAGTAAATCAGTACTATTGTTGCTCATAATCAGCAGTAGTGACTGTAACAACGTTCGTAGATCGGGAAGAAGGAGGCGGGAACCAGCGAATATTTAAATATAAAACTTTAATAAACAAATGAACAAACACAAAATGATAGTAAAAGCGGCAGCCCCTCACGGACGACTTCCGCATAAAACAACAACATAAATAGTCCAGGCCTGGTCCTCTCACATCCAGCACTGTCGTCGCTCCTCCTTTTATCCTTCCAGAGCTCCTCCGTGGGACTCGAGACCAGTGAGTGGCGCAGGTGTCTCTCATTATCATAAACTCCACCGGCCTCACTCCATTCCCATGGCTCTCGGATCCGCCCCACTCATCACATACCCCCATCGCTCCTCGCAGGCTGGGGGGTAACCACGAGACTGCGCTCAACTCCCCCCCGGTGGCCCCGTCACAGCAGCCGCAGCACCTGGGGGTAAGGACAGACAAAGCGAGAGAAAAGGAGACGGAAGGATGAGGAGAGACAGACCCGAAAAAGAAAAAAAAATTATCGGTCCAGTTCCCGTACACACTGCCGCTTGGTCCTCAACCAGCTGAGAGGCTCTCACTCGCGGTGCCATGCGATGGTACTGGACATCTTTGGTGGACAGTTATGGCTCCTCCTGTTGAGGGCAGCCGGCAGCGAGTCCCCCGTTCCCTGCTCCTCCCCAAAAATGGCGGACGGCAGCAGGCTCTAGCCTCTTGGTGAATGGCACTGACTCCTCTGCTCCCTCTCAGATGGCAGCCACCCCTCCTCAACCCAGGAGCATGGCAGCGAGCCCTCCGTCCCACCTCGTCTTCCATCGTTCCAGCACCACCACCTCGGGCAGCCACCGGCGGTCTCTGCTCCTTCATACTGCCCGACCTCCTCAGCACCGCGATCCCCCTCAGCAGCGAGGGCTCTCTGACAGCGTGTCCCTCCTTCCTCCCAGGTTTAGGCACCAATGTAACAACGTTTGTAGATCAGGAAGAAGGAGGCGGGAACCAGTGAATATTTAAATATAAAACTTTAATAAACAATTGAACAAACACAAAATGAAAGTAAAAGCGGCAGCCCCTCGCGGACGACTGCTGCAAAAAAACAACATAAATAGCACAGGCCTGGACCTCTCTCGTCTTGCACTGTCGTCACTCCTCCTTTTATCCTTCTGGAGCTCCTCCATGGGACTCGAGACCGGTGAGTGGCGCAGGTGTCGCTCATTATCATTAACTCCACCGGTCTCGCTCCGTTCCCATGGCTCTTGGACCCACCCCACTCGTCACAGTGACGTTGTCAATTGCTGGAAATAGAGTCATCTGTGTCCATTTCCGTCACACGCTTGAGGCATTCAGCCAATCACAACGCACTGGATAGCTGGCCAATTACAGCACACCTCGCTTTTCAGAATGACGAGCTTTGTAAAAATTGACGCGTTTCAGAAAGGCAGGGCATAGAGGAGAAACAATAATGTACAGTATGTGGAAAATAATGTGTTTTTTTAACCTTAAACCGCATAAACACATTGCATTACACCAAATACACAAAATAATGTTATTTTTAGCAACATCATAGGAACCCTTTAATGTTCAGTCTCTCCTCTATCTATGTGCCAATTTTCACAACTTTCAACCAAATGGTTCTATGAACTGCCATAGACTTCCTTTCAAAAATAATAATAATAAGAAAAATGTAGCTGAAAAGCATCAGTTCGGGGCCAAAGCACTGCCAGCCCATCAAATACAGCTAGTGACTGCAGGTTTAACTTGCATTTAATTTGCCTCTAAAATGTGGGGTTTTGTAATGTAAATTTCTTCTGTAACACAGAGGAGGAGCCTGAGAATCTGACAGATACAAAGAGTGTTTGTGTCAGACTTGACACAAACGGTGAGTTCTTGCTTTATTCTTCATTTACAACACAGATAAAAAAAAACGATCTCTGCTGAGATCATCTGATTAGAGACCGAGGAGATGGCAGTAAGTTTATCAATAACTCTACATAACTGGAGGTGGCTTTAGCTTTCTTTTAGTGTGATGTTCATCTTTTTCTCTCTGTCTCTGTAGATGTTGGTGTTTTTAGCGGCTCTTCTCTCTGCTGTTCTGATGAGCGAATGCCATCACAGTGTAAAAAAGCCGGTCGACTGTACTGACCTTTATAAATCAGGACAAACAGTCAGTAAGACTTACTCCATCTATCCAACAGGTAACGCTCCGATCTGGGTTTACTGTGAGATGATCTCAAATAGGAAAATTCCATAGAAAGGAGGATGGACGGTATGAATGTGACTTTAGATCATTAAACACACATCAGCATTCATTCTGAATCATATATTCTCTATAAACCCATCACAGGTGATTCAGAGGAGAATGGACGGCAGTGTGAATTTCTATCGGCCGTGGAATCAGTACAAGAGAGGATTTGGGAATGTGGAGGGAGAATACTGGCTGGGTAAGATCTCACAGCGTGTGTCCGTTCACGAGTTCACACTTACATATAATAAATAGAGTAAAGGTTATGTGTATTTGGCGTGCTGTCTGAGGGGAGGGCTCCGAGCTCAGAATTTGGCCCGAACCCAGAGTCCAGAGTGTATATATATCTCTTATCTTGTTAATTGAGTTGATTACTGAATGTGCTCCTCTCGTGTTAATTATCTGAACGTGCTCCTCCCGAACTTTAATAAAACATAATTTTGTGTGGATGTTCATGTCCAGTGTTTGGTTGAAGGTGTTCTTCATGTGTGTGTATGATCAGGGCTGGAGAACATGTACCAGCTGACACGTAACAACAAGTACATGCTGAGAGTGGATCTGGAGGACTTTCAAGGAAATAAAGTGTTTGCTCTGTACTCGTCTTTCTCTGTGGGTCCTGAAGCTGGCGAGTATAAACTAAAAGTTTCTGGATTCAAAGATGGAGGTGCAGGTAGGATACTTTCATTTATACTCATGAAAACACATTTCCATTGGGTTACTGTCCTTAGTGACGCTTCTCTTCTCTGCAGGCGACTCTTTATCTGGCCATAATGGATTCAAGTTCTCCACCTTTGACAAAGACCAAGATGTCTATCAAAATAACTGTGCCAAACTGTATCTTGGGGGATTTTGGTACTCAGCCTGTCACGGTACAAACCCCAACGGTATGTATTTATGGGGTGAAGATTCCACCCTTTACGCCATTGGAAATGTTTGGTCAACATGGAAGGGTTACGCTGTTGGAATGAAATCCATCAGCATGAAGATCAAACGTGTGTCTTAGAAACATTACAGTTCTTCTCAGAAATAAACAACAAAACAATCAATTTAATGTTTAATTGTTTCCTGTTTTCTAATAACTGTGTAACTTAGTAAATCATGTAGGAAAATCACTATCATAATCTTATGACTGTTTATGAACTATTCTTTGTTTTTGGTCAAAATCATACAATTAGAATAAACTCCTGCACTGAAATCATTATGTCAGATGTGTTTATCTCCACAACAGACACCAGAAACACTAAATGAGAAATTCAGTGGAACCAGAGCTGCTGAGAAACCAATAATAAAAGGAGCATTAAAAACTCAGAAAGTGTTCTTATTAACCTCATAGACATTACACACACAGATCGACCCAAAATGCATTTGATATTCTGATCATAACTCCAGTTGTGTTCCATGGGATAATGCATCATAACCTCACATAAAATAATGCATGCAATTATTCCAATTTGCTTACTGCATGTTTCACTGACTGAAGAACTAGCTCACAACATTAGGCCCATTTATATGCTTTTGAATTATGAATTGAAACAAGACAGGAGTGTTTGGCTTCTGAGTTACTCACACATTGCATATACACAGTGTAGAGCCCGATGCTGAATGCTTTGCAAAGGAGAAATATTGTAAACGCCTCCCACTATATAATCGACTGTTGTATCAGATTTGCTTTTGCCACAATTCGAGGTGAAGACTTCTCGCTGTTTACTTTTGATTTTATTACTTATGAGTTATTGTTTTTAATAAAGCGAAACCATTTCCTATGGTGATGAGTTAAACTTCTTTTAAACAAGTCTCTGAGTATTTTATTGAGAGTAACCTATTATCTGAACTTGAATATAAATCTCCTGTCGAAGTCCCATAGCAGCACGGACACCGGGTGGGAAATCTTGAAACTTCTACTTCATCTCCCGATACAAGAGGTAAGGGCGTATTTATTCATTGCTACTGCTTGTGGGAAACAAAGATGTGAGTTAGAAGATTTATGAATTCCTTAATCGGTCTAGAAACATAACAACAGTGATGAATCAACTTTGTACCGCAAAGATAAACTTTATCTCTGTGTTTGGAAGAGACATTTTGGATTCAAACGAGTGAAATTTGCAGCATTGATCATATTTTATTCACAAAAATCGTCAAATTTAATTATCGAATATTCTGAGTGGATGCACTTCTGACACAACACTAACACAACCTGGTCAGGAGCCTGGTAATGTTTAAAGACCAGCTGTGGCGCAATCCTGTGGATATCAGACGACACACATCAGCAAACAGCATGCATGTATTTGTGTATATACAGTGGGTATAGAAAAAAAATCAGCCCCGTTTAAAATAATCACATTTTGTTGCTTTGCAGCCTGAAATGAAGACGGACACAGTTTTTGTTTTATCCAGCTGTATGTACTCAGTGCAACTTATAACATCCAAGTGAAAGATA